TGTTCGAGTGGAACTTACTTCACACCGGTAGAAAACGGAGAGAATGTGTGTGGTTTGCTACTATGTAAGTGGTATCGCGTGTACTTACTGTGAAGTTTTGCCTAGGTGGGCCCAGGGAATATAGTTAGTCCGAGCACCTTCCGTGGAAGTAGAGGTAGGGACCTCGCGTACCATCTCTTACACCAACGTGAGAGATCTACGCTCCAAATTGGAACGAAAGTGGAACATCATCTTCTCCAATCTAAAACGGACTTCCGGTTACTTGCTGAAACCGGTATACACGCTTTATGCGCATCAGGGGAATTCACGGTTCCGGCCTACTCACATGTTACAGCCAAAAATGACCACCTAAATCGCCATGGCCTACATCAAAGACGAATTTTCCTATGGTAGGGACGTAACCCCCCCCAAAAAAACCCCCAAAAAACAAAAAAAAACGAGGAAACCGATCTCCCGTATATGTGCTTTCGCATGGCAACTTATTCATAGTACTGCATTCGGCTTTTCTCTCAACAATCCTCGGGAGGAAGGGACAGTAATCATCAGCTGAATATCTGAAAAGATTGATAATATCTTCAATCAGTTCCCTTCGGCCTGCTTTCATATCTGCGGCGATTTCAATATCAATCATGAATCCACTCCAACAAAACCGACGTTGAAGGCAGATTTTGCAGTGACTTCTCCATTGCCAATGAGCTAACCAAGATCATCAAAGAACCTACGCTCGTCCGGGACACGTCTGCACATCAGGTGAACCTCCTTGGCTTCTTTCTAACCTCCTGTCTTGATAAATGCTTGGTATAAGTTGTACCTTCACTAAGCACATCAGACAATTCACTAATCAGTGTTCAGATTGATGACAAACCTAAGACATCCCTTAACATGCCGTTCCAAACTGGGACAAGATTTGATCCTGCATGATGGAAGCTCCCCTCCCAAATTTCTTCATGCATGATGCATCAAAAACTGCTTCCTTTGTCTTTGAATGCATACTTTGTGGAATGGTGTGTGTGTGGGGGGGGTTATATCCCCACAAAAATTCCTGCAAAAACCAAACAGTC